AAGATATTGGTCTCCGTATTGGACAATGCTCCTTGTGAGTGGAGACCCCTGCTTTAAGGTATAATAATTTCAAATGCTGCAGTTTAACAAAAATCCTATCACTTCATACACGCTGCTCTGGATCCTGAACATGTTTGTCAATTATACATGCACATAGTCGTTGTTAAATTGGTAAGTTCTCCATGAACACAAGTGGCAGGTTTGTGAAGCCAGATATCTCAGAGAGGCCCTACACTCCGTTTGCATTCTTGCCATTCAAAATGGACCGAAGTTTCATAGCTTTTTTTTTTTTTTGCCAGACGTCCTCTTCCTTGGGCAGTTAGTGCCCATCCCAAGCGGAAGGTAGAAGATGTTCGACCCATTTTCTGGGCATCCCGACCAAAGAGCTACATTTACAGAACTCAGGACTGGGACGAGTTCCCCAACGGCAGATGGTACCAGTTTACAAAACTTCAATGTCAACTTCCTTATTAATGCATTTTATTTGGTGAATAAATCTTGACTTAGTAGCATCCTGCTGTTGATGTTTTCAGGGGAAATTCCTCTTCTCCAGCTTTTGGCGAGTTAAATGACTACTACCTGTTCTACCTGAAGAGCAAGTCATCTAAAGATGCACTGCAGAAGATGTGGGGAGAGGAGCTGAAAAATGAGGAGAGTGTCTATGAGGTCTTCACCTGCTACATCACAGCCCAAGAGAACCAAAGTGGACACAAGGTAGGCCATTGTTTTCCATGTCCATGACTTAAAACGTTCCTCACACTGTTTGCTCTCATATTTTAATCTCTGGCGTCCTTGCAAAAGTGACCGTCTTGCAGAGATGGAGTACTCGAGTCCTGGACTCAGACTTGAGTCGGACTCGCGCACTGATTGACATGGAGCCTCAGTTTGGCCACTGCGAGGCACCGGCGCTCGCAGCTCACGTGCATGCTCCACTAGCATGCTACCACAGTTTACCACGGAGCCTCAGTTTCGCCGCTGCGAGGCTCTGGTACCCAACCGCTCATCGCGTCCAAATAGCGCACGTTCTGTGTTGTCCTGTAGCAGGCACCTTCGATGTCGGGGAATTGATCTTCAATACTCCGAAAAGAATCACACCAGACTCCTTTGCCCCTCAAACAGCGGGATGTTCTTGTCCTTTTTCCTTTTCGACATTTCAAGCAGTAAAAACTCTCGATCTTCTCTCAAATTATTAATAGTTTTGGATGCCCTCGGCTCGCATTCAGGGCGTCCCAAGCTGAATAAGGAATTAATCTGGAGAGCATATCAACAGACTCTAGTGGCCGGCACATATGATTATACCATCAGACGATGTGCGATAAAAAACATTATAACGCATATAAAGAGAGACGTTCTACAGTCAGGAGGAGGTTTCATCGACAACAGGGGGCTCTGACTTTTATGTATAGTTGACGGAGCATTTTTACTTTACATTACACTGTTCAACACTTCATGCTGCTTCACTCTTTCGCTAAAGATTTTGAAGACCTCCGTGTTCTTGCCACGCGTAAATACTACACTTCCTGTGTTTTGGTGCGGTCTGCGTTCACACCAGCGATGAACCGCTCCAGGGTTCACTAGCAGGTGGTCCGAGACCACCTCT